AATTCAGATGTCTTGGCTCAGGTATTGGCTGACTGTCTCAGTGTCTGTGCTGCATATGGTTTGTGAAAACAAAATCAGGTTTTTGCTGCCAATTCCCAGCATAAAAGTGACATTGCATTTGCTACCCAGAGAAATCGTGCTGTCTTTTTAGTGAGAAATACATTTTGGCAAACTATTGGAGTTTCTCCACATAGTCTAAAAACTTACTGAAGTCAATTGTTAAGTACTAGACATTGTACAGTATGTCTTCTCTTTTTTACCATTATTATAGTGGTGTAATTTTTTGGTACATATGACCAAAAAACGAAGAACAAAGATATAGTCATATAATGGCTTATAATATTAAAAACACTTTGAGACCTTGGTATCATAATCATTAAACATGAGTGACATAAATATGACAATTTCTGATATAGCTAGAAGTGACAGCCAAAATGTTGTGTCTCTTTTCTTTTCCTTTCAGCATGAAATAAACCTTTACCTGTTCAATTTCTGATATGAAGTTCAAAGGTCATGTGGTCATATGGTGCATTCAAGTCAGACACCCTACGATATGTAGGTGATCACACCAATGTGCCGCCACTAGCTTGAAGACTGTCATGCAGCTGCAATGGCATAGACTGGCTGCACATGAACAAGCTGCACATGGAGAGAGGCATCTCCCCTCCATCTGTGAGACAGGTGGCAGATCTAGGATGCTGTTTGATGTTCACACACGTGTCTTTCTAGCTCATCCCACAAGTCTTCCATTGCGTTATGATCAATCAATACAGAAAGTCAGTGCATAGCACTACTCCCACATTGATACTGGAAGTCTTAGGTACTGTAGCTTCTGCAATGCAGGAATGAGCGTTATCATATTCAAAGATTACAGACGTTGGCGTTGTCATGGCAATGGATGAGGAACAGGTCTCAAAACTTTCTCAATACAATGCTGTGTGGTGAAACTATGATGAGCAAGAAGACTTGAGTCCTACAGCTATCACTTATAATGTGATTGCTATGCTGGCGCAAATAGAAACATTATTTCATTTTGATGGAAAATGTGGAGTCTATAGACAACAGGAATAATGTTGGAGATCACTATATTGAAGGTGTATTACAGCCTATTCAGATTTTAGATAGACAGATAAAATTACTGTTTTAGATAAAATTGAGAATTTCTCCTTGCAAAATTCTTCGGTATTTTCCATTTCAACAGCTTTTTTAAATGCTTCCATTAATAATAATTACCCAACACAACCCACACATGTGTTCTTGATTATTAATACTGTACTTCAAAAGAGTCTCTTTAGACTTTGCTGAGACAGATTTAAAAAATCTGAAGACAGGTTTGTGGGTTTTTTTCTGTCCATCCAGGGAAAAGGATGTTAAAGCATGTTATGACTCAGAAGAGCTTCTAGAATGCATTTTAGTATTCCACAGGTTTTACAACTCAGTGTTCAATATTATGGATGAGCTCTTTAAAAAACATCAGGAACTGCAAGGAATACTGATGTAATAGTTTTCATATTCATCACATTCCTAGTATCCACATTCCTGGTATCTTTGATGAGTGACAGTAAATGGTACAGTACATTACCAGCTCTTACTGTGGTAGTCTACAAAAAGAGCAAATGTTTTTCTTTACTTCTGCCAGATGTGTTTTCACACATGCCAATCATAACTACAATACAATGAGTGGATGAAAGCAACAGTAAGTTTAGATACACTGTAAAATCCTTCAAAGGTGAGATAATTACATAAATTACAGAGGCAGTAAGAATTTAGAAAAGCCATGCTTATAGAGACCACTGCTTCCTGAACCTATTACACAACCCCTGACAAGTGCGGGTTTTTACACGCTGAGAAGATGTTGGACTGACCATGACATGATTCTGTAAGAGTAGCGATGTTACTGCCAGATCTTCTGTCTACATTTCACTCTGAGCTTGCCCTGTCTGGCCTTCCTAAAGACTCCGCCAAATTCCATTGGTGAAGCTGTTTCTCAGCCCTCCATCTGGCTTGATGTGCAATGGCGCTACTGGTGCAGACTGGCTGCTGTATGTCACCCAGATGTGTCGCCTTCTATGTGTATAGCGTACTTGAGATCTTTTGAAATGAAAAGCACCATATAAATGTAAGAAATTTGTTCCCAGGTTTCTTTGTTAGTTAAGACTACTATTGAATAGCGATCTTGTCCATATTTCATACAATGCTAAAATATAAAAAATACACCATAACCCCTCTAACATTATGAGACAGAACAAGTTTCTAATTCTTCCCTAAACCGAGAGACGTTCATGCAGAGCTTGAAAGTTACAAAGCTACAAATGTTGCCGATATTCCAATGAATTGTGGGTACTTCTGACTCAACTGTTTTTTGGGATTTAATATTTACTGTATGTTTTTTGGTAAAATCTAAGAGATACAAATGTATAAACACAAAACAATATACACCATCTATTTATATATGAAAACAAACATAAAGCGCTTATAATCATTTTATTAGCAAATATATGTTAATAGCAATGGAATACCTCACAGAAGTTTATGCAAAAACAAAATGACATTTCATGACAAATTAAATATTCACTGATGTGTGTTTACTGGATTTTTTTTTCAAATGCAGTGTAGGGGTTTTGCTAGATAAAATATAGTAACTGTCATACCAGCCAGCACAAACTGGGTCTGCATTGGAACCTGAAACAATCAGACCTGTGAGCCTGGAAGGCATAAAGTTTAGGTTAAGAGCAACAGTTTGACATGTGAAACTTCAGATTAAGACATGCATTACCTTTTGCAAACAGTCTCATATCTACAATAACCTAATGACACAAAATACTGTGGTAGAACATGTGTGAATCTGGTGCTTCGTGACAAGGGATCTTTTTCAGTGGTGGATATTTCTCTGTAGTAAATAGGTGTTACAAGGCCAGTGGCATCATAAAAAGCTCCATAATCTCATTGTGTTAACCAATGAGCCAGCCAGCATTGGCTTTCACAGTGGTTGTCTGGGAATAAAAAGAAAATTTACAACATAGCAGAAAAAAACTCATTTAAAAAAGTTGTTTCTTAAAGGTCAAATGATAGCCTAAGGGAAATGTGCAAGCTCTTGTGTTTGCCTCCATGAGCTGCCTTATCTTGTGTGGAAGCTATTCATGAGACACATGCACACACATCAGACACATATTCACAAATATTTTTGCTGTTGAATGTAATTTTGTATTATTTATAGAATCTAAAAGAATAAATAACAAACCTTAGCCTGGAGTTAATTTGAGTTTGACTAAACTATTACAGCCAGAGATAGAGCAAGCCCAGACAGGAGCAATGAGCTCCTCAGAAACAGATTCTTATTCAGATTTCAAATGAGAGGTGACAGACACACAATCACTCACTGTGCCTTACAGTGCTTAAAATTTAACATTTTCCAAAAGTTTCTAAAGTGCTGTCCAAGAGACTAGGTCCTCTTTTCCTTTTTATAGCACAGTTCAGAAAATGGCCATAGATAAGGGCCGCTTTTGCAAAGCTTTTTAAGTCAGCTTTATGACTGCCTATTTAGCAGCCTCCAAACTGGAGACCAGTACAGTGAAAGCTCAGCCAAGTGGATCTAAGTTGCTTTTCTTTGATAGATACATTTGATAAAGAGGTCACTCACGCATGAGAGCCCCTGTTTCAGAAGCTGAAAGAATGTGAAATATGTCCCTCCACTATAATATACAAAGAGGTGAGAATTTTAAAACTGTGACAATATCTCCAGGGATTTTGAGAGCCAGTTGTTGTTCTCATTTTCTCTTTTTGACAGGACAGCTTCTAATCTCCATGGAACTACACTTGTCAAACTTTACATTAACTCTTCATTTTCTGTTTCAGAAATAAGGTAGTCTGCTGTACCCAGATCACAAACTGATACCTGTACCACTTCAGGAATCTCAAAAGCACAATACTGCAAATCTCAATTCCCAGGAAAAATGCTTGACTCCTGAATTAATACTGCAGAAATTTCACAAGTCTATAACCACTATTGATACACACCCCATAGTATTATTAAAGTACGTTTCCCACATTTCCTGTAAAATTGGCTTTATCAACAGCATTGACTTAAGACAACAACTCACACATTTCCTTTGAAAGAATTTAATATAATAAATTAAAAAGCTTAAAAACTCAAAGGATTATACTGTAGTAGGTCCCGTATTCATTTTAATTTAACGGTTTCCAGTTTTATAAATTGCGCTATATACAACAAACTGCTGTGCACACATTTATCAATTAAACTGTGATGCCCAGGGCAACTGAAAGAAACAGAACATCAACAAAAAGTTACTGAAATTACATTTGATATTAATATACAATGACAGAAGCTACTTTTAACCATGTGTAGTGAAAAGACATGTTTAACTTCAGCCTCCTTTTGCTACTCCAGATGTTTGTTTTACAAATCAAGCCAACACTGCCAGTCTTTTGTTTCAATAGAAAATAGATACTGTATATCAAAGCAGAATGTGGATTTACTGTACCTGACAAGTCTTTCCTACCCGTGAGGAGATGTGCTGGGTGATACTCTTGATCCCAAGGAATGATTGAAGTACTGTGTTCTTTACAGGTTTTGCTGACCCACTATATGAAAACCTCTTTACTTGGTCTCTGTCTGAAAATGCTTGCTTATCCAACAGAGATAGGTCAAGTGTGTCCAAAGTTGATTACAGCCTACAACGGTGATATTGTATTACATTAAGCTGGTGATGAGTCCCACAAAGAGGCAAATATGATGGTGTTAGACAGTCTGGAGAAAATGAAGCAGCAAAAGATGATCTTACCTCTGGTAAGGAAAGGGTTCTCCTCAGGCTGTAATTTATTAAATGTGAACCACTGTCCAAAAAGTGGAATGAGGCAGGTGTCTAAGAACCTGCATGACCAAACAAGTTTTAGGAAGATACAGGTCCCTTTTGATATAATTACCTCTTGTAGTAAAACTAACATTACACCCTAGAAACATTTAAGGTTGAGCAATTAGGCAAGAAAAAGGGAAAAACGTTTATTTTCCAACAATAATTGGATGGGACAGATTCAGAAAGGGACAAATGGTTAACAACACAGTTCAGGGTATTGAGCCCCAGCTCTCCAGAGTAAAGGACACATCAGGAACCACATGTAGTACGTGACATTAGCAGACATGTCTTCCACTGCAATACCCAAAGGAGTAGTGGTAGCACCTGCTGTGCACTGGAAATGGCCTGCTTCTGCTTTCACAGCACTCAGTCCTTATTGATCAGCCCAGAAGCCTTAATAGAGGTTCCAATGCAACCCTCCTTTTGGCAGGCAATTAGACCGCGTCGCCTGGGCATTTGTAATAACAAGATGCTTACAAATTGAAAAAAAACTGTCTGAGCCCGCCAACGTTATTTCTTTGGCTCAGACACAAATCAAAACACTGGAGTTGAAAACTAAGTACTTCTCAGACAGGCATCTATTGTCTAAAATAGACAGACATGTATGTAGCAATAGAAATGGAGGAAAGCCGACATTAAGAATCATGAGGCTCTGAATGTATAAGCAACAACCTGCTCAACAGCGAAGGAGTGCTACTTTCACACATTTCCAGTTGGACCATACCAACAGAAACTATAAAATCATAGTTGATCCCTCTTTTATTTCTTGATGTGCATTCTACTTTGTTGAACCTGTGGTTGCTGCTTGAAACGTACTAGAAATATATTTCTGTATGTGGAAAAAAATCACCCTGTGAACAATATCTGTGACCCTCAGCTTTCTTGATTTATGGTGTGCATCCACTCAGAGTGAAAAATTACTGTAATAATTCAAGAATTGGTAGCTGAAACACCAAAGCAGGCAGTGCTGAATAACAATCTGATATGAATATAGACTGAGTGGTTCATAATCAGTGGATTCTTTGCAAGGGTTATAGCAGCTGTGTACAAAGCAACTGGTCTATGATTACAATACTGAGCTAGCTGGACGTAACAGAAATTCTTTGTTTATATTTGGATGGCTGGAGACTAAACTGTGGTGCAGTACAAAATATTTTTTCTTGTACAGTTTCAGGGTCTATAGCTGGACCAGTTGCAGTGGAAAATGGTAGTTGTATCTCTTCTGTCTTCAGCTGTTCAATGAAATGTTGAAACGTCAAAATTCCAAAACCCCAAAAATACTTCAAAAAATGAAAGTCTCCCTACAAAATCCTACTATGATGTCATGTCTGCAAGTTTAATGAGACAAATCAGAAAACACTGTCTACATTTTGCACTGAAACCTCAGATGAACTCTTACCATTATGAATGTGCAGTAAGTTTTTATAATTCACATGATCTTACCATGATTTTACTTTATCTCACCTTGATGTCCCCATTCAGTATCATGTTTACCCTTTTCTTTAACACAAACTAGTTGTGCTTTGCTTTTCTCATGGAATGGAATGGAATGTTAAGACGTTGATAATATGTGCATAATTTAAGCCTCAATTTCCTAAATCAAAAACATAAAACTGTGTACACAGTACAGAACTCGTCTACATTACGTTATATATAAATTAAGGCTAAAGCAAAACGCATTATGTACGTTTCTTTTTTAAACTGATGTTCGTTTTAAGAGTAGTCAAATCTTAAGCACGTCTACTCGTCAACGGAGAGAATCGCACTAATTCTGAACATCTGCTCCGTGACGCGTGTGGCTGTACCTTGCAGCCCTCGCCGATTCCCTCCTTGTCTCCCACATGAGATTATAATGCAATGCTGCTCCCACCAAAGAAACCGTTTCCCCATATATACAGCATAATAAATCTACTGTTGACTCCACGTTAATTCAGAAGGCGCTTTGTTCTCACCAAACAAGCGCATTCATTGTACTGTAACTGCTTACTGTGGACTTGACCGCCTGAGGCAGTGGCTCTCTTTGCAAGTCTGAACAATCCTCTACAATAAATTACGGAAGAAAAAAATACTTATCATATTTGGAACACTTCTTTAAGGCTTCTATTAATACAAAGCTTGATGACCCTCGCATGAAAATACTTACAGTAGCAATTTCCATAGGTATTTAAAAAAAAAACATCGAAAGCAGAAAACAATCATTTTCTTTTTCACCGAGGTAGGTCATTGAGCGATGTAAACAGTCAAATAAATTAGAAACATGAAGCTCATTAGTTTGTTAATACTGTCTCTCTAAAAATGTAACAACAGAGAGACTTCTGTAACAGGTGAGGAAAAAAACCTTCCAGGTCTTCTTCATTCTATGGAAGGAAATACATCAGCTTCATTATAACTGACTGTACGTGCGCTTGCAGTTCAGTATGTGTTTATATATATAGTCTATCCTTTCTTGCAAAACTCCAGCCTGTTCATCAGAAAGAAACCCCAGCACCGGAGCAAGAGATTCGCTATCTTGATAAAGACCCAGGAGCCGACTCGGCGCGTCTCTCTTCTGGTGCATCTCTATGATTCGACTCGCAGTTCTCTTCCTGAAAAGACACACCGAAGAAAGCAGCGTTTTGTGGTACTGCTCCCACATGTGCAGCACCCTGTAGCCGTGCACCAGCCCGGCCTCGTTGTCTACGAAAACCAAGTCGCCCGCTGGGGACTTCAACAAGTTGTTTGTGTCTCTCTCCATCACCCGCGAGTCCCACTGGAGACTGAAGAGATTGCTGACCAGCCTGTCGAAGTTGGCCGTAAGATAGTCAAATACAATTAGATCGGTCCATTGCACCAGCTCCTGTAGCTCTCCCAAAGTCCTATTATCCAGATCCGCCCGCAAGGGGTTAAGACCTCTGCCCTCTTGTCTAAGGGGCGCTGGGGTGACAACCCCTGTTAAATTGGCTACCCATTCGGTGAGGGACACGACAGCTTTATCAGACCACTGTAAGTCTGCCATGTCCTCCTTCACTGTCGCCCACTGCTCACTGCTGGGGCTAACCTGGGACAGGGCAAGCGGCGGGAGGTTCGCGATTCCTAGCAAGCTGGCTAGGTAGTAAGACAAAGTCTCTCCCAGCACTTGGTCCGCGTTGATCCCGTACCTGACACAAGCTTTGGTGCCGTCGGAGAAACGAGCCAGGCGATTGGAGGTCCGGCCACAGCCCGGCTCCAGGGAAACGACCCGAGATGCACGGGCTCTCTGTCTCCACGTCTGGGCATGGGCTTCACTGAAGCCTGCTGACAACAGCGCGTCCATTCTGTCGTTCCAGAAAACCCCGTCCTCTACCAAATCGCTAAGCCTGATCGGTACCTCCTTCATTGCTCCGCTATTACTTACATTCAAACCGGGCTGTTTCCCATATGTGAGGGTGCCAGCAAAATACCCCCTGCCAGTGAAATTATTGGTATTATCACTGTCACCCAAGTGCGGTCTTTGCGCCCCCGGCATAGCGAGCAGCGCTCGGAAAGTTTTCCGAGACAGGTCCCCGAGCTGGTCACGGAATCCGTTCGACCTCGGCTCCCCTAAACCACGCTTGTATCTTCCTAACGCCCTTTCAAGTCCGGTCCAAACGTAAAACACGGACGCACAGGCGCACAGAAAGATCACAGCAAGTGAGTTAGCCAACAAGATCCTCATGATTGCAGAAGACCGCTGATCTCTTCGGAGTACTTTTAAGGTGCGCCCGGCTCCTATCACGCCCGTACCCGACACTCAATGCGTGTCAAAAACAGTGTTATGAGTTCCCCACCTAAACCAAGACGGGGTTTGCATCCAAGTGTCGGTGCAATGCGTTTTGCCTCTGCTTGCAATCACTGTTCGTGAGAACGAGTTTTTCTGAAAATCCAAAGTGTCCGTAAAACAAAAACCCAGTCATCTCCCCTTCTGTAGCGCTGTCCTTTATGCTGCCCTGCTTTAGGATGCAGTTTTTTGTTTTGCATCTGTCTGTTTCCTTTTGTATCCCCGTGGATCGCGCTGTCCCCGTTTGCGGTCTCCGTCTTCATCTCCCAGCTAGCTGGTTACTTTGGGATTAGTTCAGCCTCAGCTCGGAGAGGCACCAGCAGGCACCGCCACACGTGACTGGAGCGGCACGCTGGTGGGCGGGACGGGGTAAGAAGCGGCTCCCACCGGCACCAGCTCTTAAAAGAGCAACAGCGGCCATGTGTGATAAGTGACAAGGAAAGGGAAGACGGCGTAAACTAAGCAGTGTAAACAGGATAATGTAGGAGGTAATGCTGCAAAGACAGACACTTCCCTCTACAGAGACTGTTATGTAATAACCTGGAGGAGATCGGTGGAATTCAATTCAATTCAATAAAATCAGACGCCAGTTGTGTGTATGCAGTAATCACAAATACAGATGAGCGCAGGGGGAAATCTTACACACAATTTATAAAGAATGTAATTGTTTTCATATTATATAAATGTAAGGTATATACCGTATTGGTGCTTAAAAAAACCCAAACGAAATGCCTAACAATGTTATGGACTTAATGAAAACATTTTTCTTCCCCTAATCATAATTAAAAATAAAAAAGACAGAATAGTCTGAAATTTAAATATCCAAAGCAAGGAAAAAATGAGATAGCATCAACTAGTGTGGCAATTTAGACCGTTTCTGGTGGTTTATGAAGGAATTTAGTAAATACTTCATGTTCATCTTCTTTTAAACGTCACAGTAGTACTTTGGGAAAACTGAACGTAGTTAAAGATGGCCAAATGTTCATTCAGGGGCCTAATCGCCTGTTAACTTTTCATTGAATCAGCTGATTTCGCAGAATGAAGGGAGACGTGTCCGCTGACAAAATGGAACCGTTTCTCTCGCATTTGAGACTGGAGAATGAAAAATGAGGTCTCCTTCATCTTTGTTTTTTTCTCCGTTTACTTGATCATCCTCCGTGACTATAGTGACGTTAAATGCATTCCTAATTAAGCTGCAATCACAGCGCAGAGATGCAACAAACCTGAAAATATCCGGTATTGTCTTGTCTCCAAATTCCTTGTTATCATGCTGAGAGACCAAGAGTGAAACTCATTAGCGAGATTCATTTGGTCGGAATCTGTGAACATGGCATACAGGTGTCATGTCTGATTTGCCAGAATAAAAAAAAAAAAAACACTGTCCCAAAATATGCAATTTAACTGACAACATTAACACATTCTGCACAAATAAAATATTCTGCTGTTTCTCCTTTTCATGGTTTTCATTTGACATTCTGAGCATGTATCAGGAAACGGTAAAGAAGGAACAAATTAGCACTGCACGAATTTATGAAAAATAAGGAGATGATCATCCTCCTCAAACCTTAGTACAGTACGTACTAATTTAGTGAACACCTTTCACCGTGACGTGTCTGACACAAGTTGTGCATCAGGGATAAAAAATGTTTTCTTGAACTCCACCACTCCAAAGCTACAAACACTACCATTTTATTTGTCTGCTCAGAGACCAAACACCCAGCTGCTTTTAACAAGTATCTTCATGGTGGTTGCTTGGGCAAAGGTGTCAGGAAGTTTCACGTTTCACAGACACAAAGGAGAAATATTGCTATTGAATGCCAAATATTATTGTTTGATTTGTCCATCAGGGTAGACATTCATAAGAGTAATTTACTATTCTTTACTATGTCATTGTAGGTGCTGTTTTATCTAAGAACATACTGTTAGAGTATGTACTCTTGGACTCGACATGCTTTGGCTGCTAGTATTTTATTAATATGAGGATTTTATTCAGGCTTTTCTTGAATGTGCCCAGGCAGTCTTCAAAGAGCTTTTCAGCTTGCTCTTGATAACACTACCCTTTGCGTTGTAAATCTAAATGCGTCTATATCTACTTCCTTGTAACCTCCAGTTGTGCCCATGTGTTCTTGTGTTACTGATTAGCTTTGAAGTAATCCAATAAGATGACGTCATAACTAGTTTGAAAACCTGTATTAAATCCCTTCATGATTTAATCAAGACAATAGATATTCTGTTCATTTATCATATCTCCATATTACACCCCCTTTAGTTAAGACTTGGAATTATTTTGATTGCTTACAGTAAATGCCCTTTTTATATCATGATCCATCTTAAACCCATCAACATTCATATCATTAGTCCTTAAGAAGCTTGGAAAATAATGATTGATTTTCCATCTAATAAGATCACATGTTTTCTCCACTTTGCCTGGTAGTACAATACAATCTACTGTGTCAGGCTGCTGGACAGCTAACATTTGACATGCTGTAATGCCATTCAGAACTGAAACCAACACAATCTCCATGTGGGAGAACAAATGACTGACCAAAAGTCTTGGCAGAAAACAAACCCTTCTGTCAGTTCCCAAAGGTTAATATGTAAAACATCATCCTTCATTTTCTTCCGGCTTCTAAGCGCGCTTGTTGGAGCTGAATAATATATGAACGATCCTACCATTAGAGCTGAACTGTGGCTGACAATTATTTAGGCCAAAGTAGCTGGGAGGATAAAATCTGCAGGAAGACAATGTCTCTTTTGAATCTTCCGTGATTTGGTGACGCTGGGTGTTGGTTTTCTCCTTGTAAGCAGCGTGTCTGTCTGGTTGTGGTAGGGCTAGGAATTAGGGTTTGCCCTCCAGCTTTATGTCGTAAATGCAGCTGAATGCCCATTCCTTATGAAAAAATGGAAACTTTCCAAGGGTGCTCATTCCCACGCATTTAACTCAGATGTTGCCTTCTGTGCAGGTTTTGAAAATTGCATAATCTGACACTGAATAAAAAAGGAAGTTTGAAAGGAATTAAAATTGAAATACAAAAGACACTACACCTACACTATGCCTGGAGAGGAAAGACATCCAAATATTTTCCTGCTCAGGTTAGCTCCAGCATGACAGATGCTACAGTTTTTTGCATCATGCAGTGTTTTGTTCCATACATTGCAAAAGCATGCGTTAGGACATTAATTGTTCTTAGAAATGTCAAAAACAGAACAAAATTGTCAGGAAGAGTTCTTTCAGGACACTATGCGGACGACACGATCCAGGGTTGAGTGAGAAAACACGAGTTAAAAAGGCATGTGGGATACGGGGATGAAAACGGGGGCGGAGGGCGTGTCCATGGAGTGCTGTTGGTTGGGGGAGGTGTGTGCGAGGCAAACGATCCAGGGATGAGACAAACGGGAAATCCAAAAACAGGGCAAAGGACCAAGGCCAGGCGATCCATCAGAGACAGATGATCCAGAACTGGGTCAGGACCGGCAGGGGGAATGGGAACAGGAACAAGAAACAGAAACTAAAACCATAACGGAGCCAGGCGTGTCCAGGTCCCGGGCTCACATGATGATACGAACCAATGATACGAA